ATATAGCCAAGCACCTAGAGTGTGCTACAATAAATTATCCCAGAGTTGGGGGAAAAAGACACCCTTACAGTTAGTTTGGTAATCTTTTCATGAGAAACAGCAATAGAAATATGTGGTGAATATTATATATCCTAAGTTTTTAAGGAAAGGCTGTCCACAAATGCTGAGTCAGTGGATGAACATGCAAATTCCTATCTGGAGTTCCCACTGGCTCACCGGAATCAACAAATCTTGACTCAAACACAGCAGCTCTGCTTTCACAGCTGCATGCCCTTTTCTGCCTTCCACTTCCCACTAAAGGCACTGCCGCTCAGCTGGAAAGGGACATCTCTTCTTCCTCTTCCCTCTTTTTAATAGTCAGCCTAATTAGTAAAGTTTCTTTCATAGCTCAATCAGTCCATTCCCGGCACTATTACCTTTTTTATTTTTATTTTTTGGTCTTTTTGAAACAGGGTTTCCCTGTAGCCCCAGCTGGACTGGAACTCACTTTGTAGACTAGGCTAGTCTTGAACTCATAGAGAGCCACCTGCCTCAGCCTCCCGAGGACTGGGATTAAAGACATGTGCCACCCACCATGCCTGGCCTCCAGCATTATTATTTTTGTTACATGAATATTGCTTCTTCTCCAGACCTTTCCAAACTGGATGTCACAGACTTTATAATCAACCCAATGACTTATGAAGGAGAGACAAATTTGAGAATTCAGCTCTGGGATTCTGTATATCCTCTGGTCAGTCACATCAGTCTTCTAAAACACCTGACTTGGATTGTATAATTTCCCCTTAAGGAAGCCTTTTAGCCACTCAAAGTCTGTATTCCTTGGCAAGGCATTTATGACCTTCTGATCTGAATTGATCTAGCTTTCCAGCTTGTCCTCTACCAATTTTTTTAGGCACACAAGTCTTTGCCATTCTGCAGTTTTCTTTAACTCCAGTTTTGGCATTGCCTATGGCATGAGCTTTTAAATGACACATCTTTGCTCTTGTGTAAAGCAAAGTGATATAGCATCTCATGGATATACCTTTGTTTGTGTAAGTCACCCTGGCTGTTTTACAGCAATTTCTGTTCCATTTTAATCTTTGCTCATTCTTGAGCATGAAACTCATGTTTAATCATTTTTATTTTTTCTATAATGTCTAACCAACATTTTCCATACTCTTATTCAAACAAGGAATAGACTAGGACTCAAATGAACACATGCTTCGAAAAGAATTCACTCTTGTAGTTCAGTAATAGAGTGCTTCCCTGGCATACTTGAGGTCCTGGATTCTACTCCACTGCCACAAAAAATAAATAAATATACAACTCAAATTTTCGATGGAAAATTTTAGTCCAGACTGTATTCTTCTCCAAAGACAGTGTGGCCACCATGTCTAGAAAATGCCATTCATAAGTACACAGCTTTCCCTGTTTCCTAGTCCTGTGGTTGAAGGCAAATTATTTAATTATCCTATAGTCTAGCTCCCTTATTTTAAAAAATAGAGATAATGATGACAACTCCACCAGATTGTCCTGGGAATTCTATCAGATCATACATACAATGTGCTTAGCAGAGCTCAGTGTTAGCTATTAGTATTGTTTTGTGCAAGTTTAACTTTATAAATCGATAGATCTGCTTGGTGGCTTGAAATAACAATTCAATAGCTGTTTGAGATTAAACTTTCCAATAGTTCCCTATCAGTCTTCTTGCCTATAGTATTAAAGTATGGGGGGAACATTTGTTTTCTTTACCTATTGATATAAGGTAACCACAGTAGCTCTGTCACCAAGACCAGTGTATGAACGCCACAATTTATAAAAGACCTAATGGTGTAATGGTGGATTTCTATCCCAGATTTTAAAATAATAATTGCCTACCTGGAATATTTTGTTCCTTTAAACAGAAATATTCATTTAAAGGCTCAGAATATAAGTGCATTTGTATAATACAAGCTTAACCTAGGTACTTCTTAATGAACACAATTTGCCAATCAAGAGACAGAAGAGCTGCTTTCTAGCCATGCTTTGTCATCCATCTTCTGACACTTCTCAATGTTTTAGTTCAAATCTGTAAAATACAGAAATTCAACTGAGGCTTAAAAATTCAGATTAAGTCTATAAATTTGTGACTCTGGCTTAAGACTAACACCTAATTTTATGGCACAGGACTTAACCCCAGTAGTCAGCCTGATGAGGTAAAGTGAAAGTCCAGGATCATGAGAATAACCTCACTCTGCTGCTTCTTTCCAAAAGAGGCAATAGCCTACATATGGGCCTCCTGAGAACCAGGACCAGGTACTATTTTTTTCTGGATTCCTAAAGGTGCTCATTAGATGTTTGAAAAACTATTTTATGAGCAATATTGGCAAAGGTCAGGATCATATTCTCTGTAACCAGACTGTAGGTATTGCTCTGCCATTCCAGCTCTGCCATTCCAGCTCTGCCAATTTACCAGCTGGGTGACACTGATTAGGTACTTAATCACTCTGTGTTTATATTCCTGTGGGAACTGGAGATAATGATAGTACCTATTCATGGTATTGTTCTGAAGATTAAATAAGTTAGTATGAGCAAGAGCCTTGGAACAATGCCTTGACCCACAGTAAACTCTATTATTATTATTATTATCATTATTATTATTATTATCATCATCATCCTCATTGCCACACTATGCTTATTTGGTTAAAGTTATAGTTTTTAGGGTAGTTGAAAACACATATGTGATTTTTCTCCTATATGTGTTTCATGGGATAGACTTTTGGATCATAAAATTTGAATGGGGATTAAGTTAACTAGGTTC